ATTTGAAAAGCAAAAGAAATTGGCTGTGCAATGGTTATCAAATCGACTTGTCCAAAAAACATGCCAGTTATTCATTTTTTTAAAAATTGATAAGTTTTTTATGATCAGTAAAAAGTTCAACACTTATCAACCTCACTTTTCAATAAAAAGGCTTATCCAAAAGTTGTAAAGTGATAAATGATAAGTCATTGGTGCAATTGGGCCCTGGTCCTGGGCCCAAAGATTACAGGCCCTATTCCATCTGGAGTCTTCGAACCGTCTGTGTACCAATGCAGTGAGCTGTCCCGTTGGAGTCTCTCAAAGGTGGAGATATTCCAGGTTGCTTTACTGCTTAACTCTATTTTAAACCTCTTCTCAAAACCTATAGTTGTACATATGTCATCTCTCGGAAGAAAAGCTAGCGGGAGCAAGGATCCTAGCTGCGCAATGTTCATAACGGAAATGGCCTTACCTCTTCCAAATCCCTCCCTAACAAAACTGTTCTATGGTTATATAGAGGGGCTAGACTTTGTCGGGCATTCTCGTTATGCATACACTGTCAGTCGTTGTCTCACCGTGGCCAGAGTGGTTCTTGAAAGCCAAGCCACCGCCCCATAGGTTATTATTGGGTGTGCTATCATGTTGTATAGCCATCCCTTCCGTAGAAGGTTGATATCCAGGGTTAAACTTAGGTACTTCATTGCGCCGGCGACGTTGGCCAGGTAATGTCGCTCATGCCCGGCAGAGCTCTTTTGCTAGTAAATGGAACGATGGAGGTTTTTGCTGGTTTTAGCTGGATTTATGCTAAGCCCCTTTGAATAATTTCAGAGAGGATGTTCTCAAATTTCCCTCTGGCAGCGGATACCATTGTCAGAGATACCCTGACGGAGTTCATCCACTACCTACTAGGCTCCACACAGAAGGGAGATAACACCTGTCCTCCTTTCCTCTCGGCCTGAGGCTAGCCCTTCTTCGTTTGTAATTGTACCACGCTGTCCCCTGCGTCGGTTTCAGCAATTCTAGTATGCAACAGTGTATCCACCAGAGCCCTGCACACCCCAGAGTGAGACGTATTGTCAAAGGCTCCCTTTACATCGAGAAAGGCACAGATCACTATTTCTCCACATCCAAAGGCCCCCCGAATTTCAGTTGTCAATTGGTACAGGGCTGCGTCCGTGGACCTTCTAGCTCTGTATGCATGCTAAGAAGGGTGGTATCTTGAGAATGTTAGATCTAATATGGTTGTCCACTATCTTCTCCAATGCTTTTACCCACTTTCGGGATAAATATTACTCGCGCCCTTCACCAATACTATGGAATGTAAGGTGCGGTATTACATTCTCACCACCTTGTTGCACTGCGCAACATGCGCAATGTTTCTCTCTCGCTATTATGCACGCTCATCGGCCTATCTATCACGGTCTCTTTGCGAGAAATTTTCTTGCCTACATTGCTGGTGTTGCGAGCTCTTCCGCTCGTCCACGGGTGTGGTTAGTCTACTCTCTTGGACACCGCGCTCATTGTCGTACCTACTCTCTTGCGGGGACGATTTGGCAAGCTTCATTTCGCCAGCTACCTCGGGTGTCTTTCCTTCCTCCAGGTACCTCACATATCATCTCACTGGCGGTCATCTAGAGCTCCTGGTTGCCCTGGAAGCGGAAGTGTGGGCGGTTTCGCCCGCGTATATATGTGACGATCTCCACCCGCCACGTGGAATCGCGTGCTGCCCTTAAGCTAGCCCGGATTCGGGACCTGTCCCACACCCGTGCCGGTTCCCTGTCGTGCCTACTTCGGCCCTGTCTTGGTGTTCGGTGGTTCTCGTACCCGTCAGGTTCTTTGATTGCCTTCCCGTGGAAGATGCCAGGGCTCGTACAGAGTTCCTCTACGTCCCGCGCATGCTGGATAAATAGAGCTGTCTTAGCGTCGGAGGGGCTCTCTAGGAAGTTCTTCCTCCCATCCGCTTGTTTGCTGCCTGGATGCTACTGCTGTTCCTCGTGTTTTTATATGTTGTTCCTTTCTTGTTGGTTTTTTTTTCTCTAGTTGTTTCTATCTTGTCCGTACGACCGCATGCCTGAACCGCTACACGAAGCAGTTTATTCATTCTGTGGGTGATCTCGCCCCTTGTTGCGGTAAGGCCACCGTTACTCCTCGAGGCGGCACGGCGTCCAGATGGCTCGAAGGTAAAGAGCTATCTCTCCGAAGTCCAGCTTGTAAAGGTTCTCCACACGACACCAACCACCACTCAGCTAAAACGCCACTCCCTTTAGTTCGACCCTGTTTAAGCAGGCCATTTCCTGTGGCTACCTTTGCTGTTGTTGTTGCAATAGCTTAAAAATTCTCCGAAGAGTTTTGGCGAAACCTGCTGGAGTGACAGCTCTTCACCAGATATAAATCTGGGTCGTTCCAGTTACGTAGGCCCGACTGTCGTGTGAGCATGGCGACGCCGATTGATAAACTAGTCGAATTAGGCCGTTACAAGAAAAACGACTTTTTCAGCCATCATCAAAATACTCTGCATTGGCAAATTTTGGATATATAATAAAACCAAAAATATTTTGCAATAATTACTTGAATAGGTAGTATTAAATTCCAATGTTCAAAAGTTAACCTTCACATTCCATTCTACGAATGGTAAGTACGCTTCTCTTGCGCATGTATCTACTTTTTTTTTTAATTACTACAAAATAATGGTGTACTCAGGCTTATCTGGCTGTCACTGGTCGTGGACAAATTTTGTTGTGAGACGCAGAGCTCTTGAATGCAGTCAAAGAAAAGAGGCAAAAACGCGTCTAATTAATCTCCCGATGGTTATAACTGGTTAATGCTTTGATTGCCATAATTTACAGCAATAATTGAGGCTTTTAAAGAAGTATAGAGTGCAAGCAGATACAAATCTTCACTACTCAATGCGATAGTTTTAATAAATTCTTTCTTATCGAACAAGAGTTATCAATTCTACGGGTTTGTCTCCTAACTGTAGGATGAGCGAAATAAATAATTGTTACGTTTATGTAGGATATATATGTTTATGTACATAAAAAAGTACCTCAACATAAATACTTGTGGCTAATTTTTAAATTCGTATTTTTTATTCATAACCGCTATATCCTAAATATTAATTCATAATTTTTGTTATTTTTATTACTTAAATGCTATCAGTTCTTATTAGCGACGTTTTATAAACATCTACTCGAATTTACTTGGGGCGGCAGCCTCTGTAGTATTTAGATCTGTGTGGCCAAGTGTTGAAGAATCAATTGTTGTTGTTTCTGATGTTGCAATATTGCTCTTAATATTTGGCTCATTCCATGGTTGTATGGTAGCTTGACCAAATATAATAAATAGTGCGTTACAGACCAAATAAACACCGGCGGTAATGAAGAAGACAATGCGCCACTCGCTGGGTTCCTTCTGTGATACGAATAAAATAAGTTGAAATTAAAAATAAAGATAATTGGGTCATTATGAATAAAAACTAAGCAATTGCTTTTTCTTAAAATCGTAGACCTTTTACTAAAATTTATTTGAATAAATCGAGTAAAAGGTTTGAAATTTTAAGAAATGCAATTGCTTAGTTTTCATTCATAAGGCCAAATGAGACGAAGTAGTAATTGCTTAATAAACTCACCTCATTTACAACGATGGCGCCCACAACCAGCGGTGCAAATACGGACAACAAATTCGCCACACCATTTGTAATGGACATCATTGGGCCGGCGAAATTCGGTGAAAGATCCATATGATTCACTAAATATCCACAAAAAGCGGATGCATTGAAACCTACACCAACGGTTAGCAATGTTATAGCCTCTATACGTTCTGCGCTCGTCATGTAGCTCATGGCAATTAGGCATGCCATAGGTATCCATTGGCCAATGGTATTGAATAGCTTACGCGCTGTTGTTGTACTCAAAACATTGCGATTAATAAGCATATCAGAAATGGGACTGAAAATCAAGCATAGCAGCCACATTACGAAGTATGGTAAAGCGGAGAGTAATGCATTCGAGGTCACATTTAGCTTAAGTACCGAGTCCATGTAGGTGGGAATTTGGGTGAGTAGTGTGTAAAAGCCCCATGTGAAGCCGGATTGAGCGGCGATAAGACCATAGAATGGTGCTGATGTGAAGAATGACTTCCACGGTACGGGCATAGACTAGAGAAAAAAGTAATTTGTATGGAATATTTGATAATATGTACAGTAAAGTGGTCCAAAAATGTATGTGAAAAAATAAGGTCGGATTTTTAATGAAAAAAATATATCCCCTATTTTTTATTTTAAAATGAAAAAAAAAATTGAGGGAGTGCGCAGAGCGCTCAAAGTTTTCCATGTATTTTTTATGGGAAAAAACATCGTTTCGTAGAAATAGTGTAGAATTCTTGAAAATCAATATTTTTCCTAAATATTTTTTGATTAAAAATTAAAAAAATATGGGTATAGTTTTTCGGTTCAGAATAATCCTAGGGGGTGGTGGCATTGAAATTCCGGCATTATTGTGTTTGGACCACCCGAATGTACAGTGGCGAAAATATAAATAGGGACGAGACATTTTAACATTCTTTGGCTATTCCCCCTTGCATTATTTAATGTTTATTATTTTTTATGAAAGTGTAGCGTGCTATCTAACAAAAATCATGTAAGGCAAAATTTCAAAGTTTGTACAAAAATTTGCAAAAATTCTACAAAGGTACATACAACATTTGAGCATGTTAACTTAATTTCCTAGAAACATTCCGAAATGCAGTTTATTTAATTTAAATAGCTGGGACTTACCGTCAATTTTTGACAATTTTTTTTTGTGGAAGGTGTTGCTAATTTTTTCCTTACATAAGGTTTGTCGAACACACTTTGTATTGAAGAAAATGCGCGAACAAAAAATTGCCAAAAATCAACGGCAAGTCAGTGAAATTCTAAAAAAATCTGATTAAAAAGTTTAAAATTTATATGAACCTTTGTTAAAATTGGTCGAGTTTTTGTAAATTTTCTACAAACTTGTAAATGTAGATTTGCATGTTTTTTAAGCTATATTTTCAAAAAAAAATAACAATTTTTTTTTTTTTTTAACAAAGACTTGCTAAAATGTCTTTTCTCTATTTACATTCTCACTATCGTATCTACATAAATTAGTATAAAAACCAGGAACAGCTAATTAAAATTATATTTCATATAAAAAAATTATTTAAAAAAAAGGAGACGAACATACATACTCTTTGTTACTCGAAATACCCTCAGTTTGATATTTTTTTAGTTTTATCAATACATATATAAGTATTTGTTTTTATTATTAAACTTAGATATTTATTTGACGATTTTTTAGTTCACTACCGCTCCTTAAGAAAATTACCAGCAGGTATTTTGCTTTCTAAGCAAAAAATGAAAAACTAAAAATTATGTTTTATTTTCTAGGCAAAAAATAAAGCTTGAAACAAAAATTTTTATTTACTAAGCCAAACTTGAAACTCAAAAAATAAATTTTCATTTTCTGGGCAAATCATTTAATCATTATTTTGTTAGCAATAACTAAACTCAGTAAACACTCATTAAAAAGTAATTTTTTAATAAAAGTTATAACCGTTACGGTCGCAGAAAATTTGTATTTCAACCAGTCGGGCCAAGTGGTTCTATTCGTATCTGGAAGTCGTGAATTCTATTATAACGGTTAAAAATGTTTTGAGTTGATTCACAACAAATACTAAACCAAAACTAACCCCTTTAGAATTTTGACGTTACGACAATTAATTACTCTTTAACCGACTTCAAAAAATGAGGAAGGAATATATATTTTAGTATAAACTTTATGTACGCAGGTATGAAAAAAATCGTAACTTCTACAATTTTGGTGTTTCCATTCACAAATTTTTACAGCTTACTCCATAAATTTTTACAACTATTCAGGTTGAATCAAACATGATGAAGTTAATAAAAAAATAAAAAAATGCGATTTTTTAATGCAAACATTTTTTTATTTTAATCTATCTTATACGCTCATGGAAAGCCGAGGTAATTACGCACATTTTGATACCTTAACTGATT